AAAACAAGATTTGGTTTTTAAAAAGCCTTTTTCCAAAAGCTACATCTGGGAAAAGGGGGGTCGTCTTATATTCGGGTCAATACGGTATTAGAAATAAAGCCTGAAGTGTTTAGAATTGTTAAGGTTTGCTGCATTCTGACATTATTTCCATGACAACAAAGCACATAAACACCAGTCCTGATTTGTTACATCTGAAAAAGGTCATGATTTTACTGTCCTAAAATACTGATAAAATATTAAATGTGTCCCTGCAGCACAAAAGCAGTGTTAAGTCGCTGGGGGATATTTGTAGCAATAGCCAACAATACATTGTATGGGTCACAATTATACATTTCTCTTTTATGCCAAAAATCATTAGGCTATTAAGTAAAGATCATGTTCCATGAAGATATTTGGTAAATGTCTTGCTATAAATATAATTTGTGATTAGTAATATGCATTGCTAAGAACTTCATTTGAACAACTTTAAAGATGATTTTCTCAATATTTAGATTTTTTTGCACCCTCAGATTCCAGATTTTCAAATATTGTCCGATCCTAACAAACCATACATCAATGGAAAGATTATTTATTCAGCTTTCACGTGATATATAAATCTCAATTTCCAAAATTGTACCCTTGTGACTGGTTTTGTGCTCCAGGGTCACACATATAAAGTAAAAGTGTAAGTGATGATCATGTGGCATTGTTTGTGTTCCAGCGGAGCCGCCCAGAGTCCTAACGCTGCCTAATATAGTCTATCAGGTCATTATGAACAAACCCGCGCTGCTGGAGTGTGTGACGTTCGGCTCGCCCGTCCCGACCATCACATGGTGTGTGTGTGTGTGTGTGTGTGACTGTTTACTGGAGCTTTTCATTTTAATCAGCCTTCATTAGAGAACTGCAGGCCTGATTCTGCTGCAGTGCATTATGGGCCGTCTCTCATGATTTATTTTGGCTGTGGAAATTTGAGGCCAGTTGTTATCAGTCTGTCTATGTATAAAGCACAGTGCATGATGGGATTGTGTTCACCAGGTTTAAGGACAGCCTCTCCAGCATGTTGGAGGGAAATGCTTATGTCTTCCATGAGAACGGAACGCTGGAGATCGACATGTCTCAACCCTCAAACAGCGGGAAATACACCTGCGTGGCCAGGAATAACCTCGGCATCTCCGAGAACCACATCTACCTGGAGGTCAAAGGTGAGGGATTCAGCACTGAGCCCCTTCATCACTGTTCAGTCCTCTAAATCACAGCTTTTCAAACTGGAACTGTGGGGAAACAATAGAGAAAAACTCATAATAAAATAATAATAACTGAACTAAAATAATAAAAATGATTTACATGAATTTAAAAAATGACTAAATATAAAAAACGATTATTTAAATAAATCAATTATAAAAATGTGTTAAAATGTAAACAAACCATAACAATGGATTAAAATAAATATTTAAAAACAGTGATTTAAATAAATAAATGATCAAATATTATTAAACTAACTAAATGAGTAAAACAAGTATTGAAATAAATGTTAAATATATAACTTACATAGATTAATACATTCTAAAATATTATTTAAATATATAATAAAATGATTTATATAAATACATAGTTATTGATGATTTAAATAAATCAATAAATGATTAAAAATGATATAAATAAATAATGAAACAATATAAACTTTTTTTTTTTTCAAATAATATTTTACACATTAATTTTTCCACAGCATAATTTTAGTTTTTATGCATGAAAATATATAGCTGACTTTTACATTTTAGGTTGTGGATAATTATATTTGGGGGTCCGTGGCATCTTAAAGATTGAAAAACGCTGGTCTAAATAATTCTGTCTAACCAAGAGAAAATATTGTGAGTTGTGAGAGTGTTTCAGTGCATGCTCATGCTGCACTTTTAAAATGAACAGACATGGATATTGGTCATAATGGCTCCACTATCCCATCATGCATCGTGTTTAGAGGCTCCAGGCCTTAGCTTGCATGTTTTTCACTTTTCAAATGGCACTTAAGTGCGTCTCTGGAGAGCACAACAGGAAGTGTGCTGTATTAAGAGCATTAGGAGGATCATCAGACCTGATGAGAGATGGAAACTCACGATGAACGCTGCTTTGTGTGACGTTATCAGGGTCCAAACCTCTGGTTTGACTGGATGAGAGTGTGCTGAGGTATGCTCATCCGTATCGTCTCTCTCTTCAGAGCCCACGAGGATCCTGAGGCCGCCGGAGTACCGGGTGGTCCAGAGGAACAGGGACGTGGTGTTTGAGTGTAAAGCCAAGCACGACCCGTCCCTCGTGCCCACCATGACCTGGCTGAAGGACGACGGAGAGCTGCCTGATAATGAGAGGTTTGAGAGTCACACAATCACACGCTGTCTGATCATGTCATAATCTGATGGTGTTTTCATCTCTCAGCTCATCATTTTTAACCTGTTCAAATACTGGCTACAATCGTTATGTTCTGGGTGAAAATTACTGATCAATTTTTTAAAATGCATTAAAGTTTTAAAACTTTTTTCATAAGCTGTGAATATTATAACTCGTATTCGAACCATTTTCTAATATTTGCAAGACATTTTAAACAGAAAAAGTGTGTGTTTCTGTGTGTTTCCTGAAGTAGAGTGTGGCGCTCGCAACAGCGAGATTATAGGTTTGATTTCCAGCAAACTGAACATGCATGAACTGATAATAAATATGCACATTTAGTTTCAAGGATAAAGGCATCTGCCAAATGCAGAAATGTTCCAACATCAATTCATTTTTTTTTTCATTTGCATTTGCATTTAACCATGAAATATCTGGGTCATAATCATATTATACATTCCATACACACATTCCACAACATTTCAGAGTGTATGTTTATGAGTCAAAATGAGAAAAAGTCTGAACATTTCAAGAAAGACAGTTAACCAGTATTTCTTACGACTCAAAAATCGGGTCAAACTGACCCTGAACGTACAGTAATATGTGGGTTAAAATGAGCAACAAAATGTTTCATATTTTTGTCTTTCAAACACTTCTAGGTGAGTAGCAGTTTGAGTAGATGTTGTAGAAATGATGAGAATCACTGACAGGTGAAGTCTGCAGGTTTTAGCGTTCACAGGATCAGTTTGAGTGTACTGTGGGGAGCCGGTCTGAGGGTTTTGTGTCTGATAACAGGTTTAGAGTGGACTCGGACAGTCTGACCATCACAGACGTCACAGAGAGCGATGCAGGGACGTACACGTGTATCATGAACACCACGCTGGACCAGGACTCGGCCAGCGCTCAGCTCACGGTGGTCGGTGAGTGTTTGAGTGACTAGATCCAGTGTCTCTCTGGATTCATTCAGATACGAGGGATTTTATTGACAGAAAAGCCAACTAACATGATAATAATAATCATATTAGGTACACATAAATACACATAGAAAAAAAAACATAAAAATAGAGAAAAACATAATAGAAAACAAGGAGATAAATAAAAACATACATTTGTTATAAATAAATAAATAAATAACAGTTGATTTAAAATCAATAAATAAAAATAAGAAACAATATTTTAAAATATTAACAGAAACTATCTAAATAAATAACAATTGATGGAATAAAATAATAAAAACAATGATTTAAATAACAAGCAGTTGATTGTAATCAATAACTAAAATATAAATACAATTTAAAAATGTATGAATAAAAATATATAATTAAAAGCAAATAAACATTGACAGAATAGTGCATTTTAGAATAATTTTAGCTACAAGTGTGTAGTTGTCTGTAGATTAACACATCTCTTCCTCACTCCTCTAACCCCTCCCACTCAGAGGCCCCGCCCACTCCCGCAGTGATCTACGGTAAACACACAGCTCATCACATCCCATAATGCCCTGGGCTTGTGTGTGGTGAGGTTCATGGAGCATGCTGTTGTGTGATCACATTGATCTGTCTTCTGATTTGGCTTTGGAGTCGTTCTGTTGATTTCCACATGAAGGCGTATGTAGAGTTTGCATGACTCATCACGTGAATGCGCTTTAATTTGTGCGTGTGCAGACATGCAGCTGAGGGTGTCATCACGCAGCATGTGCTTGTCTGATCATGTGATCATGAGTTGATGAATAGATTCATGTTTATGTTGACAAAAGTACTTAGCACTGCATGCTGTCATTAAAAAAGCAAAGTGTAAATCCAGGACTCTTTTCTCTGAGAGCAACAAACTTGTTAAACCACCATCTCTACAGACATTTATTCTACAGTAAATTTACAGTATCTATCTATCTTTCCCTTCATTTGCTTCCCCAGAATTCTCTACTTCCCTGCTAGACTTTTTACTCACTAATACATCTGAGATTGAATAGCTGATTGTTAAATCAAATTATATAATTGTGTTGATATTGGATCAACTCAAGATTGATCCAGTACCAACACACACAGTCAAAAACATTCTGCCTTATCTTTTTTTACCAATCATCCACACGATAAACAGATCCCTTGCTACTGACTAAAAATATCTGATGTAACCCCAGTGCTTGATAACACAGTCCTGAGTAACTGTAGACCCATCTCCAACCTTCCCTTTATGTATATTAGAAGTATCAGAAAAAGGACAAATTTGTCTCATTTGGACAAGTCCAATTTGTGAACCATTTGAGTCTGGTTTTCGTCCTCTCCACAGTACAGATCCTGCTCTTTTAAGAGTAGTGAATGACCTAAAAAAACCTACATTAAACACTTCACTGACAGATAGCTACAGACCTGTCTCTCTCCTTCCATTCATAGCGAAA